ACAGTTAGGGTTGTGCAATTCCGGTAAACCATGATCCGTTTCGGTGTCCTGGATTTCTGTGGGGGCACCAATCTGGTTTTTGGGAGCCTCCTGAATACAGGAGGACAGAAATCCATTTTTGATCCGGGAAACTGAAAGATTTGTTTTCAATCCAGACCATTGGCGGCAATGGAGGGAGGAGACTTCCCAGGCTCCCCATCCCATCATTTTAGGCATCATTTGTCCTTATATCCTTCATTATGACCTGACTGACTGGCTGGCTGGCTACGCAACCTGGCAGCAGCTACTCCCTTGGCTGCTGCTGTTGCTCTTGCGGGAGATGGTGAAGGGGGAGGTAGACCTCTACCCCAAGCACCTCTCAGCAACACGTAGCATGGCAGGGAGGATGAGGAAGGCCGGGGTGGGGAGGGGGTACTTCTGGGCCCGTGGCTAGCAAGAGAGGAGTCCACCCCACTCTCTCCTGGCTCCTTTTCGTGGGAGTGGCATGAAGCACCTCTTTTGCCTCAGTCCTGAGAAATGATGGGAGCTTCCTCAGTAGAGATGGTTTCTCTGTCTGTTGGGCACATTCAGAGCAGAGCAGATCCTTTGTCCTTATATCCTTCATTAAGAACTGGATTAAAAGCACCAAAATTAAGATACCACTCTTTGTGTGATCTGTCTTTCAAGGAGACCTGGGTTTAAGGAAAGAGCTTAAGAGACCTCCCCCCCTTTCTTGGGATCCTTTCCCTCCTGTCTTTCAAGAATCTGTTTGCTTCTAGCAGCTGTGTTTCTCCCTGCACTCCACATGTAGCTGAAATAAACTGAAAAGCAATTGTTTTTCAGCAGCCACTGTTCTGTTGCGACAAGAAAAAAATTGTGGTGGAGCCCATGCCATTACGGGCTTCCCAAACAGCCAGACCAGCCGAAGACCTTTTTGAAAACGCATCAGTGCACAACCCTAGCACCAATACAATTCAAAGTCATTATCAAACATTGATTTTAGACTCTTTGAATTCATTAGATTGGTCAGGTATTCCTCTAGCAAATGCAATGAAACAGGAATGTCTAAGGGAAAGAAGGGTAAAGATTAGAGGAAATGCCAATTTTGTGAGTAGGCAGCAGAACCCAATGCAAGAGCTGGGAAGTAAGTGAAGAGACATATTTGGAGAGCAACTGAAGGAGAATATAAATAAACAACTCCTAATATAGAATGGAATGAAATTAGGAATTGATCTGTTTTCTTAGCTATTAAGCATCCATCAGTCTTGCAGAAGGTCAGGCCCTTTAGTTCTGAAAGGTTGGTGTCCCTCTGTATCACACTATTGCCTTGTGTGTCCTTTATAATGTTGGGTTGGATTATGGCTCTCTTCAGTTCTTTATTGCTTTTATTCCAGTTTATCTTGTATATTACTATTTTGGGTGAGCAGTAAACCCTTTACTATCATTTAGTAGCTCTTACTGTTGTTACACAGTACTAGACATTTGAATAGTTAAGCGAAAATTTATTCCTCATCCCAGGATGGGAGACAACAACTTTTAAATGACCAAAAGAACATTTTTGAACGTGCCAACAACAACACATGTCCCTAAGACCAATGCTGTCAACTTTCTGCCACTCTCTCTATATCACATGGACTTCTTTGGAATCTCTCTCTCCTATTTCTACAGGCATTCCCTTGCATTTAAACCCCCTTGTGGTTGATCAACCCTGATCCAAGACAACCTTCTTCGGGTATCTCACAGTATAAAAGTATGCACATTAGTGCATCTCAAACAAATATTACAGAGGCTGGTTTGAAAAGATGCCATACCTTTGATAATCCATGCTTATATTTAGAATGATTGGCATTTCTAAAACTAGGCATGGATTGAGGTATCTTTGTTTTTGTTGCAAACTAGATATCACTGCTACCGAAATAAATAATAATTCAAACACCACAAAGATATTTTTACCTCTGAAGATCCATTAATGAACACTGCATGGGATAATTGGGAAGAGCTAATTCTTCCTGCTGTCCTGTGTAGCTTTAAGAAATGACATATTGGTATCAAAATATTTATCTTGGCATAAGTATCTTTACATTAGTCAAGACCTGATCATTCTTAGTCCACAAAAGGGGAAAACAATGAAAATTTAAAGCTACCTATCTCCAGTCAATCAATCCCCTTAATTTTAATATCTCAGGACTTTGGGTTCCAGAAATACAACAAAGAAGCATGTTGGACAAACCGAAGTATGTAGTAAAGTACAGTACCATTATTTGCTGACCTGATAAGATCAAAATAAGTCTCATGTTTGAATACAGACACATATTCATAGTCTTTTACTCCAACCTTTACTTCATCCCCATCCCAACATTTTTCAGATGTGATGGAAATGCAAGAGTTGTCCATGGCTAACTAAGGTTACTACACTATTCAACAATCCATCCCCATCACCCTTCCGAGGAAATTTTCAGAAGTTACAAGAGGAACTAGCAAAAATCACGAGTCTCCTTGGACTACTGACAGTGTTTCCTGAATTAATCTATGCTAGGGGTTGCTTCTGTGAGTGGGAAGCAAGTCTGGTTCAGCCATGTATTTTCAATATATGATACAAACTGTAAAAAAGACTGTAACCTGCTGCTCATTATCCAAACCACCTTGAATCTTATTCTGTTAGAAAGATGAGATATACATTTAAGAAACAAAGAATGAATTACTAAAAGATTGTTCCAAATGACTTGATTATTTCAGCACTTTCATTGAACAGATACTGTTTTAAAGAGATTGGAAATTAAGTATGTATATCATAAGCACCAATCCTATTGTGTAAAAATAAAATTAATATGAATTGATAAAACTATTACTTTGTCTGATAGAGGGGGTTTTGTCACTAGCATCGAGTATTAGAAAAATGTGTCTGGTCTTCTCAATTGCCTTAAGAAGTTACCTAAGACACTTCTATTTCTATTATTGGGGGAGACATGCCTCTCACGATTGTTTTTAATTCGTTGATACAGTTGTTTTGCTATGTCAGAGAAAGGTATCTTCTTCCAAATATCGCTGAATGACAACTCCCAGCATTCCCCATTACTTGGTCTATTGGTTAAAGTGCTGGGAGTTCATTCAGCAACATCTGGAGGTTGCATTTTCTCCATCGTGGCTACATTACTAGATTTATAGAATTAAGTTCTTACACTGTTCTTGTTTTCAGTCTTGTAAGTGTAAGGCTGCGCAACCCCCATCCAGTTCAGTTATCAAGTAGCTACCAGACCCAGACTATATGTGTCAATCAGATCCCAAGTGTATAATGAAATGAGAACTGCTCGTTATTTATTAAACAAAGCCACTAAAAGGTTTTCAACAAACACTACAGTAAAAAAAATATTTTGGATTTAACCAAAAGCAAATAATTGCACTGCCAAGAAGAAACAGACTCTCTCTTTGTTGACCTTCCTTCCATTATGCCTAACAACATGTCACTTAAAGTCTTAGGGGACTTTCAACAAAAGACAGAAAAACAATGGCATGGTACACAAACTGTTTAATGTTGAGCCAGTTTAAAAACAAAACAAAATTACACACACACACACACAACTGAATGTATGTAAAAAAAGAAAAGAAAACCAAGCAAATGTTCAACAATGGTTAAGAATACAAAGGCAACATTTCAAAGCAAGAGGATAAGTCCTCAGATATAACAAACCTTACACTATCATCAGGAAGTTCTCAGTACAAAAACTCGATGAGAAGGAAAACCAAGGCTCTGTCTGTTTGCTACTGAAGGAAGTTGCCAAACCCACACAGTAAAAAACATGCTACTGCAACTTCATGAACGGAATCTGTCAAGCAATTAAACTTCCCAGACATGCAAATCTATCATCTTTTCTATAGGGTTCCAACAATGTACTTATAACATGATTCTATTTGTGCAAACACAGAACTCCCACTGCATCCCATTGAGTTTACACCCAGAAAAGGTAGGAAGCACTGCTGCATTTATCTATTTGACTGAAGCAACTCATCCTACTCAAGCCATGCAATTCATTACAAAACCACATTAAATCTTCAGTTTGAAATGTTTAAAACATGCATGACAATGCATGTATATTTGTGAGTTGTTGTTTTTCCATAACTTTCAAATTCTAAATATGCAGAAGAACAACTTTACAAGAATACCTTCAAAGTTTGGAAATTACGTATTCGGGATAAATGAGAATTCTAGTTTGCATTTCAGCTAGGAAACTACGCAAGAAAGTGGTTTGTTTGCAACTTTTCATATGGCTTTTCTAATGTAAAGCCACAGTTATCTCAAGCTGAAAAGGGCCTGACTGACTCCTGGCAGCTGTTGACTAAAGCTCCATCTACACTGACCACTTAATGCAGTTTGAAGCCAATTTCAAACTGCAGTGGCCAAACAACAAACTCACACAAAAGTGTGTAAAAGAAAACCCTAATGCACATTAGTGCTCTGTGGTTTGTGTAATCACCACCAGGGCCTCACACTACTTCCAGGATGCCCTATGTAATCACTTGCAGAGCGAAACCACTTTCTTCAATACCACTTTGAAACTGTATTAAATGATCTTAGTTCTTCTGATGCAGAGCTTGGTAAAGATGTTTTTGAGTGGTGGAGATGGAAAACAAAGGTGACAGTACGCCCATAATCCATACTGGTTGGGGGAATTCATGGAATTATAGTCACAAAAGTAACCTTTTCGGGCTCTGCTTTGCCAAACACTATGAGAGACTATGGATGCATCTATATTGTAGAATGGACGCAGTTCAACAATACTTCAAGTGCCATGGTTCAACATGATGAAATAATGGGAGTTGTCATTTTTCAAGATTTTAGACTTCTCTGTCAAATACCATTGGTGTCTCATCACACTAAAATCCCAGGATTCCATATCACTGAGACAAACAGCATTTAGTAAACACTGGAAGTATATCACATCCATAATAATGTTACATTGATATGAATTTTCATTTTATAAAACTCATATCGCAGAATATGAAAGCAAAACAGAACTACTTACCTTGAAAGGACTGCTTGGTTCTGTTTACCAGTTCTTCAATAGAATAACTTGCTAGTTCGCCTCTGGCATGCTTAGTTTTGCAGTAGGTGCACGCATTCAGACAACTGGGGGAAAAGTATGAAGTACTTTAAATTCTCGATTTTTAAAGCAAACGCATACATTTATCTCCTCCACTTTGCAAAATATATTTATATGCAGTTGCTGAAGTTGTCTACAACTGCCATTTACTATCAAACAAATCTGACTTTTGACCTTTTCAAGGCAAGTGATGTATTTCCTCTCAGAGATGATTTATGCAATATTTGTCAGGGTTAAAATATTCAGCATTCTTTTGCCTCTCAGCCATTTTTCTGCCAAAGGAATAAATGCACTTAAAAGATGCAGACACTCAGGCAAAAATAAAACACACAACTATTTTACTTTCTTTTCTAAGTCTTGGTTCATGGTTATGTTACTGTTAGCTGATTATGTGGCATTTAATGACTCATCATTCATCAGTTTTAAAGAAATCTGCACAGACATCTTCACTGGGGCCCCCTCCAGAGGACTGCAGGTATGAGACAGAAGAGAAGACAATAATTCAAGAAATTAATACTGTATCTAAGTGGTTCTTAACCTGTTGTCCACCAACCACCAGTGGGCCGTGAGGACGAAAATCCGATCTTTGAGCCTCATTCCTCTTTATTTATTTTATTTTATTTCACTCCTTTTGCATCACCTGCCACTCCTTCCCTGTTGCTGACCAGCCCCTTGGATAGATCACATCAGCTCTAGATTGTTAAATATGGTTTTCTGTGAGCATGGAGATGGCAACTACTCGATGGCATATGTTCTGTATCAGATACTAGAGCTGATGTGGTCTATCCAATGCAATTTTCTGAATCACCACCTCAAATAACCAAACCAAATCTAAAGTTGACCAAAAACTGATTCGTAACCCTTTTGGTACTAATATTGAAGACTGGTCAAAGTGGTCCCTGGTCAAGTGGTCCCTGGTCAAAAAAAGTTGGGAACCACTGCTATATACAGTACAAAAAAATGCATTAGTTAATTGAAATTAGCATATAATGCTAGAGGTGTGGAAGAGGAAATATAGGTTGCTTACCTGAAACCGTAGTTTCCCGAGTGGTCACCTGTGAATGCCTAGAATGTGAGGGGGAAGGCCTCTGGGGACAGCAAGAGCAGATGCGAGGTGAGTGGCCTTGAGAGCGTCCCCAGGAGTGCTCGGTACCGAAGGGAGCTTCCCTTGGCGACACCGATAGGGATGCCAGGCATCGAGCTCGGGAGGGGCGCCAGGGTCACCATCGAGCCCGAGGGAGGTCCCCATGAGAGCGCCAGGGCCATTGCCAGCCCGTGAGAGGCGCCCAGGGCGGCATCGAGCCGTAGATGGCCCCAATGGAAGCACCACTCTGGTGAGGGGCTTAGAGTTCGCCAGGGGCCGGCGCTAGGGCACTCCCTGCCTCAAGGGGCAGGCTCAGGCCAAGTGAAGACGCTGCTTCTGTGCGCGTGGGGCCGGCGTCGGGGCRCTCCCTGCCTCRGGAGCAGCCTGAGCAGGATCTGCGCTTGAGAGYGCRCACCCATGGCCTGGCACCGGGGTGCACCCTGCGTCGAGGGGCAGCCCGGGCACAATCTGCGCTCGACAGCGCACGCTCCCTGCATCGAGGGGCAGCCCAGGAAGAATCAGTGCCTGTGCGCACTCACATTTCCTCCGGAGTCGGCAAGGGCGGGAAAAAAGCGCGCTTTTTGCCGCAACAGAAACAGCCACCAGGGGCAACGCTGAGGTGTTTTAAGGCCTCACTCGCCTTTCCTTTTTAGATTTTTTTTCGACTGTTTGGCCCACTCAAAGGCCCTTCTCTAACCGGTAGGCGGTGGAGCCACCTTGGGCTACTTAGCCTTGGGCCTGGCTGAGGCCGAACGGCTATCCAWAGATACAAAAAATAAACACTTGAAAGTACTGAGGCCCTTCGRCTGTATCACGGTAAATGGCCCCCTCAGCGGTAGTATTCCCCATCAGGGCAGTCAATGGCCCAAACACCGCTCCCCTGAAAATTGGCGCGGGATGGGTGGGTGAAAAGAAAAGGCCTGCTCAAGAGATGAGYCATAGGATGACTCTTACACGCCTGAGGGGTGAARAAAGGAGCAGAAGATGCCGGATCATACCCCAAGGCCTCTCCTCAGGCATCGCTGACACAAAAAGCCCATCCATCGGGCTGCTTTTCCCTCCACATGAGGGACACGTCTTAAAGAAAGTGGTGGTCAACATACCATCACCATGACAAAATAAAAAATAAAATTAAACTCAAATAAAAATAAAATGGCAAAAATTCACGCAGTCCATAAACGCTAGTCAAAGATGAAGAAAAATGAGAGAAAGATTCCTAGCTGCTGCAATGGCGGCGGATGAAAAGATCTGAGGTAGTAGCCCCTCCCACTGGCTATATATACTCTCAAGGGGAGAGTGGGCGTGGCTACCACCTAAAAGTGTCTAATAAGTTTTCTAGAAGATTCCGAACTGTCTGCGCAGGCGCAGGAAATACCATATGTGCGATTCACAGTTGACCACGAAGGGAAAATCTCACAGTTGGTGAGATTTATGTCAAAGCACATTGTCTCCTATTGATACTTCACAAAAGCTCGTGAGTTTTATTTTTATTGCAATCTCTGCAATTTGTACAAAAAGCTTATATGCAAAGCTCTCATATTTCCTCCTCTGGAGCAAAACACTTGCAGGAAGCATGTTTGAGCAAAAAGATGCAAATAAGCCAACCAGGAGTACAAATTTAATCGTCCACATAAGAAGGCAATATTCATCAGTTTTACATTTTGCCTGTGCAGAAATGTGTAAAATTCAATCTCAAAAATGCTTAGAAGCTCCTTATAACTGGAGAAAAATCCCCATAATGTCTCAGCAAGTAAGTTAAGAGAAGCAATTTTTCATTTACTGACCAAGAAGAGCTCTAATTTTTTTAAAAAATATGATTATATAATGAAGACAAGGCTGCCTTCCAAAATTGACACAGGTCCAAACAAAAGCTCTCTTGAAATCACAGCTAAGATATTGAAGCGAATCACTGCAGAAGTACTAAGTTGTTCCAACCTTTGTGACTCAACCTGCATGGAGGCAAATCACTCAGTTACCCCAAATTAAAGGATCTGGAGAGTCAACAACGAGAACAAAGTAAAGCCTACTATAGAATATTGTTGTCCTGAGTTTACTACAGCATGGATGGCAGTTGTTTCCTAGAGATATTTCTGTTAAAAGGATCAAGAAATATAGGTTCCACCAAAACTATTGACTGTGGACAAGGTAGGTTGTTTTATAAAAAATTATTAAGACATGAGTAGCTTCCCTAAATACTGAGCAACCATATTCTGTAGAATTTGCCAGTTCAGACTTGGGGAAAAGTAAATAGAAAACAGCGGATCCTTGGTATCTGCTTGCATTTAGTTCATAGAGTTACTAACTATAAATAAAGGGGAAGAAATCACACTAAAAAAAAACTTGAGGAAATAAATAAATCAAGATCTAATATCAATTGGTTCCAATATTGGCAAGTAAAAGAAAGTTACAAAGAAGACGAACTACGTGACTTTGAAGTCAAAGAAACAATCTGGGACAAAATAATGAAAAAAAAGACAAGCAAATTATCAAAATCCTATACCAAAAAAATACTAGAATGGGAAACTGAAGAGGAAAGCATCAAAGCCTGCATGGTGAAGTGGGCAGCTGACGTAGGCCATACTATACAACTAGACAAGTGGGAAGAAATATGGAGCAAAAAACTAAAATATACTTATTCAATGGACTTAAATGAAAACTGGATAAAAATGTTCTACCAGTGGTATTTAACCCCACAAAATTGTCTAAATTCCAAAAAAATAGTGACAGCAGATGCTGGAAATGCAAAGCACACACTGGTTCCTTTCTATATATGTGGTGGAACTGTGTAAAAGCTAGAGATTACTGGAAGGATATTCATAAAACAATACAACAAGTTTTGAAAATAAGATTTAAGTACAAACCAGAATACTTTTTATTAGGTATGTTTGACTTTGTTTTAGATCAAAACCAAGAAAAACCTTTGACCTACATGATGACAGCAGCAAGACTAACGTATGCAAAACTATGGAAAAAAGAAATCACTCCAACTAGAACACTATGGGTACTAAGATCATTAGATATAATGAATATGGACATATTGACTCCCCAAATCTCAAAAAGAAAACGGACTGGACACCCCTGAAATGTTTTTTGAAAAATGAAAATCTGGAAATAATAGTAGAAGAAGCACTATTGAATTCAAACTTTAAAAAGACTAGCACTATATAAATAACTCTCGTTTACCTTTACCTTAGATTACCTTTTCTTTGAGGCGAAGATAGGAAGCACCAAATTTGTGTTCCACTCTTGCTCTATTTTAGGATTTTTTTATTTCTTATTTTCTTTTTCTTTTTTTCTCTCTCTTTTTTTTTAGAAATTAGCTTTATTTATTTATTTCTCACTTTATTTCCCACTTTTCTATACTCATGAAATGTTCCCCCCTTTTTTATTGCATCACTACAGATTTTTTTTTCCTCAGAAAAATATTTATATTTTTTAAAAAAGATACCTCATGGATGTCTACATCTGTAGAGACCCAAGTTTCATTATACACAATGCAGTAGTAAAATGGCAAAATCAAGGTTTGCCATGGAGGGCTAATATGTTTTAGCAATGTAAGAAAAACAAAGACCAGTCTAGAACTGCATTATTATTGAAAGCCAACATGAATATAGTGCAACTACCTATATAGGCTATTTTGTATTTGTTTCCAGTAGCTGAAAACAGATCTAAGTTTTCAGTTTGTTTACATGCCTCTAAAGAAAAGGAAAAAGTCTATTTTTTCCTGCAGTGTCTGAAACTAACACATCTTCATAAGCTGAAATTTGGTCTTCCTCTCATATGTGAACATGAGGATGAACAGATGGGAATATGTTATCTGAATTCAACACTACACTGAAGTATAAAAAGCTCACATTAACATCTGGTTTTAAAATCCTTATTATCAAGGTTAGGAAAACACGAACAAAAATTAGAATGCTAAGTCACGGCCAACTCCTTATT